CTTCCGAACATTGCCATGTTCATATATGCTGAAATTTATGGTTACTATTAATTTAACACTTAACAATATTTGTGTACCCATCCATAAACTGCTATTGACAAAGCATACTTTTTAAAATAACCTATGAATGAGGATAGGTCTGGTCTATAACAGTTAACAAATTAATTTGAAAGCTGTTAGTGTAGATGATTGCTATGTATTATACTTGTACATTGTGCTTGGCTCATTGCAAAATGTTGATGTTGGCATTCGGTTATGATATATGGCTTTATTGTCAAATAAACAGTTTTTTTTTTTTTTTTTTTGTGTGTCTAATCCATGTAAATTCCAAGTTTGAATATATTTATCTGCATGCCTTTATTGTACCTCAAATGTTTCTTTTGGAAACTGGAATTCAATTCTGTGTGGTCACCCTAGCAGTGAAAAGCTTCAGTAGTACACTTACTATGTTTTTATGTGTATTTTTTTTTATTTGTCTGTCTAAATGTGATGAAAATTCACTGTCCTCTTGGGCTGATTTTGTTGCAGATTTAAATTCTCAGTATCATTGAATTTCCTTTCATTTTGAGATTCTTTTACTATCATTTACAGGTTTCATCACCTACAATAATTGTTGAAAGAGCAGGGTCGTATGCTTGGACATGCAAAAGCTGGAGAGTCAGAGAGGAATTTGCACGAACTGTCACATCTGCAATTGGTCTATTTTCATCTACTGAACTTCCCCTTCAACGTGCTATTCTTCCTCCTGTATGTTCATTGAATTTTACAAACCAGCAGTACATGATTTTTATTATTCAATATTTGTTGAATGCGATACTAACTCCTTTTAAAAATTAATCTGTCAGATTTTGCAGTTGCTGAATGATCTGAATCCTGCTGTTAGGGAAGCAGCTATTTTGTGCATTGAGGTAAATATGTCTTCTTGTCATTTTATATTGTTTGAACTGGCTTACATTGTTAAGTTCATGTTAGTTATCCAAAAAGTTGTGATTTAGGTCACTTCAGTAATTATTTAAATTATTAAATATCTTAGCCCAAAAAAAGATGTGAGAGTTGGTAAAATTTGTGTTGTTTTTAATTGAAAGTTATGTTTATGAGTGCATTTATGCTGATGTGATTGATAATATCATTAACATGTATTGTATGAATGTTAAGGAATGAAAAATAAAGGATGTGGCTCCAGTAGGTGTAATTTGATGTTAGAGCTATTCTAGAAGTGGATTATTGAGTATATGTTACACTATACAGTCAAAGTTGATGTTGGCAAACTTTGTTGTAATACTTTTCAACTCCTGCATCTTGCCAACTCGGCATGGTTTTGAATTGATGCAATCTTGTTCTTAGAGAGTTTGAAGTTCTGTTTTAAGTCAGTTATGCACAATTATATATAATTGTAGTAGTTTTTTATTTATTAATGTTTAATTGAATTCATTAGTAATTGATATTGGTATCATCATGCATTAGGCAGAGGCTGATTGAATAATAATATATTCATACTTGTGGATAATGTTTTGGAGATTTAAAATTAAGATGGATTTCAGTAAATTGCTTTAATACTCTCTCTCTCTCTCTCTCTCTTACAGGAGATGTATACACAAGCTGGATCCCAATTTCGTGATGAACTTCAGCGCCACAATCTTCCTTCATCTTTGGTAAACGTTGAACAAAATAATCAATTTCCTGATTTTATTATTATGTAATATTTTATTCACACGCATACATGTTTTACGTCTGTTATTTAGATATTGAAGGTCCTTTAACATTTTCATAACTATTATTCTTTTTTCATTGCATTACAATGATTTCAGGTGAAAGCTATTAATGCCAGGCTAGAGGGAATTCAACCAAAAGTTCACTCCTCAGATGGTATTTCTAGTGGTTATATTGCTGGGGAAATTAAGCCTGTGGGTGTTAATCCCAAAAAAAGTAGTCCAAAGGCTAAAAGTTCATCAAGGGAATCCTCCCTTTTTGGAGGTTAGAATATTTGCAATTTTGGGATTACAAAATGTTTCTATTTTAATTTAGTACCAATATAATTTTTCATAGTATGGCCCATACTTTTTCCATAGATTTTTCATCTCTCTCTTGCATTGTTATTGTCTACCTGCCTTAAAACCTTCTCTTTAGTTGTTCTTTATTTTCCATTATTATGAGCAGTACAGTACTTGATCATTTGTAATTTGTTTAAATTTTGTGGCTTGGAATTAAGATGGACAGATTGATTTGACAGTTATTTGGTATACTTTGTATGATATTATCAAACAGAGCTTTTATATCATGCTGGGATTGCTTGGATATTAACTTTTGATGATAAGGATGCTATTCCTATCAACATAAGTGTGGTGATTATGGTCTTGTTTGATGATCAGTTATCAGAATTTTGGAATATTTTGGCTAGCTTGTTTTTCGGGGGTATTCCACAAGTTTAGCTCATGTAATCATTGGGATTCTACCATTGATTACATGGTGTTTCTCATATCTGACTGATTTTAACTATCAAATGACATTTTTTCTTGTTTGCTTCGTCAATGAAAATTTTACACGAGATTCAAATGCAATATTAAAAATTCATTGAATTTGTTGGTAGAAGTAAAAATGATTCAATGAAATTGTAAGATTTATATTTTTACCAACAATATATATTGGTATCATTCTGTGTCTAATCAGTCAAGTATGCTATCTATACTTATGATTTATTTGATAACCATATTTTTTCATGTTTTACTGTGCTTTATTAAATGTGTTGAAATAATAGTGCTTTAGGTATTGAGGGAGGAAATCGAGAGAATAGGGACTTTTAAGAACGTTCTATTGAGTATGATGAAAATATAAAAGTACTAACCCTTATTTGTACTATACCAGATTACAATCTTAACTAAATAATGAAATGTGAAAACTAATCCTGAGAGATAGTCTAATATACACTAAATTATATATAATCAACATACTGTTGAATATTTTTCATATATTCTAACAAAGTGCATATTTGTTACTTATTAAATATAAATATTATATATGAGCAGGAGAAGGTGATGTCTCAGAGAAAGTCTTAGACCCCATCAAGGTGTATTCAGAGAAGGAGTTAATCAGAGAAATTGATAAGATTGCTTCTACCCTTGTACCAGAAAAGGACTGGTCAATTCGTATTGCTGCCATGCAAAGAATTGAAGCTCTTGTTTTGGGAGGTTGGTTTTTATCATATTCTTTTCAGGAGTGTGTAGTATGCACAAAATTTTATATACTCAGAATCCAATTTCAAAATTTTCTCCTAGTTATGTGTTTAGAAGGGCATGAACATTTGTTATTCTAGGTATATCTTTAACATGAGGTTATTGTGAAGTGTGTTTATAGTGAGTGATCTTACATCACATGAATTTGGTATCAGAATTTACTTGTTGCTATGAATTAAATGAGTCTATGTTAACTGCACTATTGCATCTAATAATAAAGCAGCTTTACCTTTTTTCATTCTTTATTCAAATTTTTTCTGAGAGCTCAATGATGTTGAATGATCCATAAGGCTATAGTAGTTGTTGTGTTGTAATTTTCACTGAGGTGTTAAAATGCAATACAACTTTATCTGTGTCTGTCTCTGGATTGAATATTCTCTTATCAGGTGCCGCTGATTATCCATGTTTCTTTGGACTCCTGAAGCAGCTTGTTGCACCTTTAAGCACACAATTGTCAGATCGAAGGTCTAGCATTGTGAAGCAGGTGTGCTGATATTTTCTTTGGTTATCTACCTATGTAAAATTGAAATGCCACTTTTATTTTCACGAAGGATGTTAAAATTGGCTAGGTCTATGGGCAAGGTATTCCTTGTCATGGCATGGGCTACCCCCCCACTCCTTCATTCCTTCTCCCTGAGTTTGGGTTGAGTTAGGCATAGTCTGTTTTCAATTCTCATATGGTCTTTGAGATTTTATGATCAAGAGATCAAAAACTTGATCCTTGCACTGATAAAAAGAAATTGAAGTTAAGCACAAGATAGTTGGGCTTGTGCATTATCCACACTTAAAGCTCTAAAGGCTTGTGTGGGTGGGCTTGTATGGGATTTTATAAGGTATAAACTGTTCTTTGTGCCTTCAGTTAACAGCTGAAGCCGTTGGAGACTTGGAGTAGTTGGTTCATGACAGAAGATATCTTGTCCTTAATATGTTCATTTGTGTTGGCATATGAAATCTTTTTTGGCTTTTTCTTTGGCCCAACCCTCCTCTTGTTACTAGAAAAACTTTTTCATGAGTTTTGTCGGAATAAAGTTTGTGAATTTTGATTTTGATTGAAATTGGGGTGGGGTGATGATGTTGCATTCCTTTCTTTTGGCTAAATGTTATTTGAGCGTATTAGGTTTGTCTAAAATACATTGACTGTCCTGAGTGGGTATTGAACCTTTATCAAGAACCTATCTAAAGTTTATTCCTAGCATATCTGGAAACAAATGTTGCTTTGAAATTTCTTTTTGTTTTCCACTCCTTATGTTTGTATGGGTTTTAGTGTAGTTTAGATTGGACATTTTATTGGAAGGAAGCATGCTTATTGATGATCAAATGGTTTTTACATTACTACTAATACATGAATGTTTTTTATTTGGTATTTGCCTAGGCTTGCCATCTATTATGTTTTTTGTCAAAGGACCTCTTGGGTGATTTTGAAGCATGTGCTGAATTGCTCATACCAGTAAGTTGAACTTTTATTTATCTATGATAATCATGTTTTAGATGTTTCTAAAATCTTAATTAATCCTTGATCTGATAATCAGGTCCTTTTGAAGCTGGTTGTGATTACTGTGCTTGTAATTGCGGAATCTGCAGATAACTGCATAAAAACGGTAATTTAATATACTTGTTAATTTTCTGCATTGTTTTATAACTTTGTGTTTCCTGTTGTGACCTTTGTCCCCTACATTCTAGATGTTGCGCAACTGCAAAGTTGCTCGTGTGCTTCCTCGGATAGCTGATTGTGCCAAAAATGATCGTAGTGCAGTACTTCGTGCAAGGTATGAATTATCTACTCTTGGGGATAGATGTGTGAGACTTTTGGTTTTTAATTAATACCATTTGAATTGCAGGTGTTGTGATTATGCTCTTTTGATACTAGAACATTGGCCTGATGCAGCAGAATTACAGCGATCAGCTGATTTATATGAGGATATGATAAGGTGTTGTGTTTCAGATGCAATGAGTGAGGTAACTTTTATAGTTCTAGGTTATTTAATGTTTTTGATAAACATAGATTGTACTTCATACTTCTACTTGGACTAGTTTTTCATAGTTTGCCTTTTTTTTCTTTTTTCTTTTTCCTAAGCTATTAAGAATTTGCTTTGCATTTATTGTTGCATTGCATTTGTGGTAGTGGAAAGCGAAAGTGGTTCTCCTTGGGTTTGCTTTCATTTTGGCAAAAGACCAGTTCTCATAAAACATATAATGTGATGAAATGCAATATTTTAGCTGAATTTGTAAAAACAAATATTGGAAAAACCAAGTCCCACATTGATTAGAAATAGGACAATTAAAGAGTATATAAGTGAGAAAAAATCTTCGCCTTACAAGTCGGTTTTGTAGGGTTGAGTTAGACTTATAACTCATTGGTATGAAGCCTTTTGGGAGACGACTAAAAGCGAAACCATGAGGGTTTTGACCTAAAGTGGACAATATCATATCAATGTGGAGACATGTGTGTGAACCCTGAGTTCCCAACAACAAATAAGCAAATTTATTTATTGGTTGGCTTTGTGTTTGAGTTTGTCTGGTAGGGGGGTAATTAAATTTCTGAAATTTTCAATATAAAAGTCATGCAGAAGCAAACTTTATATTATATTAGCTGACTTTTTAATTCTTCTAAAAGTTATTTGTTTTATTTCTGGCAAATGCAATGACTAATGATCAGTTGACCAACATATCTGTGATTCTAACATGTTGTAAAAAACTTACCACTCTTATGTCATCATGTTTCTTATGGACTCAGGATTTGTGACTTATGTCAGCTGAGTTGCATACATCTATTTATTTATCATTTGATATGCAAATTCTATTAATTTTTTACCTTTGAAGGGGTCTAAAATGACATGATCATTTCATTATTTTGTTTCAGCATGTAATCATGTTTGATGAGATGTTCTAAAATTTCTCTTGCAGTATGCAGTTTAGGTTATATTATAAACTAAGATATTTCACCTTTTGTTGGGAAAAACTTATTCTTTTCATTTGTCAAAAGTTATATTGGTTACTTTAAACGTTAAAACAGAAGCTTGTCAGCATATTTGTTGAGTTGACATTTTTCATGTGGCCACATTGTCAGTACCAAGTTATATATGCGTAAAAATAATTGCAGTATTGAACTTGATAGGTGCGGTCTACTGCAAGGATGTGTTACAGAATGTTTTCAAAGACTTGGCCAGAACGTTCCCGTCACCTGTTTTCATCCTTTGACCCTGCTATTCAAAGGGTATATGCTTATTTGAAGGTGTTATTCATCCTTGATTTTGTCACTTAATTTGTTTTTTTAAAGTGAACATAACTCGCAGTTAATAAATGAAGAGGATGGAGGACTGCATAGGCGACATGCATCACCTTCTGTTCGTGACAGAGGTGCAATGATGTCAATAACTAGTCAAGCTTCAGCTCCCTCTAATCTAACTGGTTATGGAACTTCTGCTATTGTTGCAATGGACCGAAGTTCAAGTTTATCATCAGGGGCTTCTATCACTTCTGGCGTTCTTCTTTCACAAGCCAAATCACTTGGTACAGGTACTGAACGTAGTTTGGAAAGTGTGTTGCATGCAAGCAAACAGAAGGTCACAGCTATTGAAAGCATGCTTAGGGGTTTGGATTTGTCTGATAGGCATGGTTCATCTACTCTCCGGTCATCGAGTTTGGATCTAGGTACCAAATAAGTTTACTTGTTTAATATATATATGTCTACCTGGGTTTTTTGGACTTGTTGCCATTCAATGGTTGATCATGTTATTGGTATGGTTTTTAAACTGTGAGCGGCTAAATTTATCTCTTATTTCCCCTAGTGCAGGAGTTGACCCTCCCTCATCTCGTGATCCACCATTCCCTGCTGCTGTCACAGCATCTAATCATCTGACTAGCGCTTTAAAGACAGAACCAACTGCTTCTGGTGCCAATAAAGGTAGTAACCGAAATGGTGGTTTGGGTTTGTCTGACATAATCACCCAAATTCAAGCTTCCAAAGATTCTGGCAGGTTATCGTATAATACTAATGTTGGTATTGAGCCATTATCAGAATTTTCATCATACTCAAGTAAAAGAGCTGCTGAAAAACTACAAGAAAGAAGTTCTGTTGATGAAAACAGTGACATCAGGGAGACTAGACGATATATGAACCCCAACATAGATAGGCAGTTTATGGATACCCATTATAGAGATGGCAACTTTAGGGATTCACAGAATAGTTATGTGCCTAATTTTCAGAGGCCACTATTGAGAAAGAATGTAGCTGCACGTGTGTCTGCTGGGTCCAGGAGGAGTTTTGATGATAACCAATTATCTCTTGGAGAGATGTCAAATTATGCAGATGGACCGGCATCTCTCCATGAAGCTCTGAGTGAAGGACTTAGCTCGGGTTCTGACTGGTCTGCTAGGGTTGCTGCCTTTAATTATCTCCACTCTTTGTTGCAGCAAGGGCAGAAGGGAGTTCAAGAAGTAGTCCAGAATTTTGAGAAGGTAATGAAGTTATTTTTTCAGCACTTGGATGATCCCCATCATAAAGTTGCACAGGCCGCTCTCTCCACACTTGCAGAGATTATTCTGGCATGCCGAAAGCCCTTTGAGGGTTACATGGAACGAATGTTGCCCCATGTGTTTTCTCGGTTAATCGACCCCAAGGAACTAGTTAGGAAAGCATGCTCAATGAATTTGGAAGTTGTTAGCAAAACATACAGCATAGATTCTCTCTTGCCTGCATTGCTTCGATCACTAGATGAGCAAAGGTCACCAAAGGCAAAATTGGCTGTTATTGAGTTTGCAATAAGTTCCTTTAACAAGCATGCAATGAATACAGAAGGTGCTGCTAATATTGGCATCCTAAAATTATGGCTTGCCAAGTTAGTCCCATTGGTTCACGATAAAAATACAAAACTTAAAGAAGCAGCCATTACATGCATTATATCAGTGTACTCCCACTTTGATTCATCTGCAGTTTTGAATTTTATTCTTAGTTTGTCAGTTGATGAACAAAATTCTCTGAGACGAGCCCTTAAACAGCGCACCCCTCGCATTGAAGTAGACTTAATGAATTATCTGCAGAATAAGAAAGAGAGACGTTCTAAGTCTTCCTATGATCCATCTGATGTTGTGGGAGCATCCTCTGAAGAGGGATATGCTGGTTTGTCCAGGAAAGCTCATTACATCGGAAGGTATTCTGCTGGTTCACTGGATAGTGATGGTGGCAGGAAGTGGAGTTCCCAAGATTCCACCCTGATTAAAGCCAGTCTTGGCCAAGCAGCTTCTGATGAAACTGACGAACATACTGATTCTAATAATGGTAGTGTTGGTTTAAAAACTAAAGATCTTGCATACTCGGTCAATTCAATGGGTCAAAACTTTGGCTTTCAAATTAGCCAAGGAGGACATGTGGACAGCAGCATGAATTTTGAAGGTCTATCATCTGACCTGGATATTAATGGTCTGATGTCATCAGAACATTTAAATATTGCTGAGGACTTTAGACATGACAAAGAAGTTCCTTCTGAATTGAACCATAATCATCAGTCAACAGAAGATGTGAAGATAAACTACATGACAGACACTGGACCCAGCATTCCTCAGATTCTTCATATGGTGAGTTATGCAACTAGTAGAATGATAAATTGGTACTGTTATTTGTTTATTTAAATTCCATTAGAAAGAGAAATGTTGTTAGTTATGGGGGAGGACAAGGTCTCTCTAAGAACAGCAAAGTACATGAGAAAATATAGAAAGCAAAATGTTTATTAGCCTAAAAGTCAACAAAATCTCTGCAGAACAGCAAAAGACACGGAAACCCCGCAATCTTGCATTATACTGGGTTAATGACAAAATACACCTGCTAAGAGTGCACAGTACCCTATTTTTTTTTGCTAGAAAACAATCATTTCAGTTTAACATGTTAAAAAGTTGTCTAAGGTGAGAGCTTGTTCCAAGCTGTCAAGCCATGTCATTAGACTCGTTACTATGTAAGAACAAGTGGTGGCCAGTGGTGCTGGGGTGAAACCACTTGTATGGGTGTATGCGTGTGTTAGGAACCTGGAAATATAAAGAATATTTTATTGAATAAAAAAAAAATTACAGGTAGTGATCTGCTTCTCTTTTTCTCCCAGAGCATAGGTTCCGAACAATTTCTTAAAGAATAACTTCTCTCTGTTTTTCTCCAGACTTCCCCTGTCCCCTCTTTTGTATTCCTCCTAGCAAACTTCCTAGATAATCTTTTCTATCTTTAAATTTAAAAAGATAAAACAGAAACAATTATCACCTTCCTAAATAGATAACAAACAGATAATAAACTGTTAAATCTTATTCCTCCTAGTGTAGACTCTCCATACCTTGGGCCTGCTATCTTGCCTTACTAATTGGACTCTATCAGGGTGTGTAGTGCTGCCAAATATATATATATATATATATATATTTTTATTTCTGTATAACCTCCTTAAATAGATGAATTTTCTGCTTCTTTTAATGGTTTGTGTTTATGAATATGTATTTAGTGCCGTTGTTTAAATTCTTGTTCAGCTTATGTTGTGAGAAGTGACACAGCTTTATCTGGCGCATGTGCCTGTAAATAATCATTATTTAAATGTATTTTTAAAAGAGTTATAATAATATCTTAGATTTCCTTTGACTAAGATATAGCATTTATTTTGTGTAGATATGCAGTGGGGGTGATGGAAGCCCTATTTCAAGCAAGCGGACTGCACTTCAACAGCTAGTTGAAGTGTCTAAAGCTAATGATCATTCTGTTTGGATCCTGGTATTTTTTAATTTGACTAGTATCTGTTTCCTTCCTGTCCCCAAATTGTATGATTGTCAATTGTACTTCAAATGGAAGATATAGTCTGCTGAACTTCATAAACATACAAATATGGTTTCTCATTGTTGTACCATTTTATTTATTTGATATTTAATATTGTGTAATGCTATTTCTCTTCCTATTATATAGTTCAGACATTTTCTCCAAATGAAAATTCTAGTTGTATAATTGTAAAATTTTCTGATTCTTTGATTGCTATCGGCTGTGAGATCAATAGATGTAGATGTTCTGCTTATTAAAAAAAGATCCTTAATTTGTTATAATACATTAAGCAACATTAACCAGTATATTTGGATTTGCTTCTGCATATTGATAATTAAATGGTGTAATTGCAGTACTTCAACCAGATTTTGACAGTTGTGCTTGAGGTGCTGGATGATTCAGATTCCTCAATCAGAGAGCTTGCCCTTTCTTTGATAGTTGAAATGCTTAAAAACCAGGTTCCTACGCCTTTTTGTGCCCGACTTTTTTGTTGGATTATGCCCTTGCTCATTTTCAGTACTTGCAACTGCATGTAAGCCCCCTCTTACAGGCTTTTTGGAACATAATACGTGATAGTTCTGTCTTTTTGTTTATTGTTTTCAGAAAGATGCCATGGAAAATTCAGTTGAGATTGTAGTTGAAAAGCTGCTTAATGTTACGAAGGATATTGTTCCAAAGGTAATCAACTTAATCCTGTTCTTGTTTTCCTTTTTATATAATTGTTTTTTCCCAGTCACTGCAATTTTTACCCCATCTTCAGGTCTCTAACGAAGCAGAGCACTGCCTCACCATTGTTTTATCTCAGAATGATCCATTCAGATGTTTAAGTGTATGTATTTCTTGTGTTACGATGGAGAAGGGATCAGGGATATGTATTTTTAACTTGAAAGTTAAAGCTGATGTCAGAATTTAAAATGTTTCAGGTTATTGTCCCTCTACTGGTTACTGAGGATGAGAAAACTCTTGTCACTTGCATAAATTGCTTGACAAAGGTATTGTCTTGAAGAACATATTGTCAGTTTTGCTTCAAGTGGTGGTTTATGATTATTGTAAAAATCTGAAGCCCTAGAGGCCTAGACCCACTAGAGATATGATGAAACTAGTGTATAGAAGTGGGAGTCAATTCTTATCTTACTGTTAGTGTATATGGGTTACAACAAAAGGGAATATTTGTTGTCTCGTGTTTTGAGTTACCATATTGGGTAACATTTTTTTTGTATGTGCTTGACCAACACTAAGGAATATTTTGGGATGATTGTACATATATGGTGCTATATTTTATATACAGAAACTTAATTATTTTGATCTTTATATTTATGCCTGTAGGTATGTGTTATCCAGTTTAATATTCTCTTAGTTAACTAGTTGTAGTGCGATTCCACTAAGTGTAAAGACCGTGGCGGGTCGTTACACCAAACAACATAAACAACTCCAAAAGAGCCTCAAATCATACATACAACAACATGGGCTCTAAAATCTAACATCATTAAGTTTTTTTATCTAACAACTCTTAAACCCCAATTTTCAACACAACTTCAATCTCCTAAAATTTCAACATACAAGCTATCAATGAGAAAATTAACAATAAAACCCTCAAAGGGTCGACTTCTCTCCTTAAATCCAAGTTCTACAAGGTTTGAATATACTTCTTAAACTCAATACAACTTTAGGGAAAGGTATAAATGCTTTTGGAGGATCCAGTTTAGAAATGTTCTTCCTGGTTTTAGAGCACCTCTTTCTAACTTCTCTTTAAGATTTCTGAAAAATGAAACATGAAATTGTGGTTTCCAAAAACCCTTATATACCTCTCCCCCTTATTGATCAAACTTGACCTCAACTCAAATTACTCTCTACAACTTAACTTCCTTGACTATTAGAGTTCTACTAGATGACCAAACATAACTATAGAAATCAAACAACAAAAAATGTCATATAAACATACATATATGAAAAAGCATAGTGCTATAAGTACAACTTGAAGCTTTTATGACAATTAGTGAATAGTTTGAATGTACCCATACTAAGGAAACAAGATAATAAAAAGATTGGGAGAAACAATCATATTGTAGAATGGTTGTCAAGGAAACAAGATAATAAAAAGATTGGGAGAAACAATCATATTGTAGAATGGTTGTCATAAGGCATCCAACAAACATCATCTATGATAAGTTGATCCAACTACCTTAGCATTAAACAACCAGTAATAATATTCTAGTTGTTTAATGACTCAATCGTAGATCCACCTTAGAGTAATTGATAACCCTTCTTCTCAAATCAACCAAAAAAAAAATACTCGTAAATCTAAATTTGTTATAATATAATACACTAATTTTCAATATAATAATAACTAACAAAGTTTTGAAGAAGTTATTTACATTAAAAAAGGTTGCTTAACAATTTTTTACATGTAAATAACTTATAATTTTTACGAAAGAAAGGAAGTATGAGTGACATTTTTTTAATGATTATATAAGTGGGATTTAAGAAAGTGTTTACAAATTTTCCTTTTATTTAACAACTAAACAAACAATTTTACTAACTTATCAAGTATGAAAGAAATTAGGGGTAAGTAGAAAAAAAAAAAAAAAAAAAAAA